TGTCAACATAACCCCATAGAAACATTAGTCGATTTGTGTCTGCATCATAAAGTTATTCTCGATTGAAAATGTCAGTTTACGAGCCAAATTCTCGTCATTTGCGGGAGGTTTTAATTTTTTGCTTCAATATGAAGAAATCTGCGGCTGAGGCTCATCGAATGCTCTCAAATACTTATGGTGAGGCCGCTATTAGTGAAAGAACGTGTCGTGAGTGGTTTCAACGCTTCAAGAACGGTAATTTTGACGTCGAGGACCGGCAGCGGTGGAAAAGAGAAAGTTTTCAAAGATGCAGAATTGGAGGCATTACTTGAGCAAGATTCGTGTCAAAATCAAGAAGAATTGGCACGATCATTGGGAGTGACTCAACAAGCCATTTCAAAACGCCTCAAAGCCATGGAAATGATTCAGAAGCAAGGAAATTGGGTGCCGTACGAATTGAAGCCGAGAGATGTTGAACGGCGTTTGTTTGCTTGTGAACAGCTGCTTGAAAGGCAAAGACGGAAGGGATTTCTGCATCGCATTGTGACTGGGGATGAAAAATGGGTTCATTACGATAATCCCAAGCGCAGAAAATCATGGGGAGTTCCCGGCCGTGCTTCCACGTCGACGGCCAAACCGAATATTCACGGCTCCAAGATCATGCTCTGTATTTGGTGGGACCAGCTCGGCGTAGTGTATTATGAACTGTTAAAACCGACTGAAACAATCACAGGCGATCGGTATCGAATGCAATTGATGCGTTTGAGCCGAGCATTGAAAGACAAACGGCTGCAATACAACGAGAGACACGATAAAGTGATTTTGCAGTATGACAATGCTCGACCCCATGTTGCGAAAGTGGTCAAGACATATTTGGAAACGTTGAAATGGGAAGTCCTACCCCATCCGCCGTATTCTCCAGACGTTGCTCCCTCTAACTATCACTTGTTTCGATCAATGGCACACGGCCTGGCTGATCAGCACTTCCGGTCTTATGAAGAAGTAAAAAATTGGATCGATTCGTGGATAGCCTCAAAAGATGACCAGTTTTTTCGACGCGGGATTCATACGCTACCCGAAAGATGGGAGAAAATAGTGGCCAGCGATGGACAATACTTTGAATCATAAATGTATAACCAGTTTTTTTACAATAAAGTCTCGAATTTCGGAAAAAAAATGGCGGAAGCAAAATTGTACACCTAATACGATCTAGCTGCTATCCTATTTCTCCTTATTTGATTTATTAATATAATTTTTAATACGAATAGAATTATTTAGTTTTTCTTATTTAAGATATAGGAAAAAGATTAAATTAGGAAACGCACGGAAATATATAGTTAGAAATTTTGCTTTAAACAATTCTGTCGATTGAATTAATCGCTGATAAAATTAATTTGAATTTAATTAAAGTCTCTCTCTAAGATTCCCGTAATTGTTATTTTAAATTTTTCAATGAGTAAAAAAACCTATTGACTAAAATAAATCATATTTTATTCCAAAATTTAGCAACAATGTGGCGCAGCTAACCAGGTTTTTCATTTGCTATTTTTTTTGCCTAAAATTTTACATATTACATATTACTTATTTTTAGTTTACATTTTAAATTATAACTTTTTATCTCGTGATTTTAAATAATTTTATGTTTCTCTAATTCTAGACCACATTTGTCTTCTCCAAGGAAGATTTTACTCTATATATTATACTACATAGTATATGTTACGTGTATTATAGGTATATTTCAAATAAAATTTTCCTCGGAGAGGACGTTTTAGTAAATGTACACCCAAAGACTTCGATTCTTTTCCTCGGAAATTTTCACAAATTTTCTGAAAAATGATCACTTTTTTACATTAATGCTCACAGTCTGTGTGCGATTAACGACATAATTAAATTTTAGTCTGCTTATAACTAAATTTGACATAAAGACAAAATAATTTGAATTTCTGAAAGTTCTAAAAAAAGTAACGAAAGGAAAGAATCGAAGTTTTTTGGGTATACTTCTAATTTGTAATTGCCACGATTTTTAAGAGCTGGTTTTCATGCCACGAATATATGATCAATCAGCAGAAACTACGCATTAAACGTGCTGCGCATGTAAACGGCATATGTTGTTAGTTTCACGTTGCAAACCTAACCTGTGTGTCGCACGAAAAGCAACATTTTAAATTTATATAGACAGATTAATAACGTTAATATATTATACAACACACTGGCTTTAACAATATAGTTATTCGCTAAAATATATGAATGAATAAATAAATGAAAAATGAAGCAACTCAAAGCGATTATCGAAGATGTAATTGTGCAATCAAACGAAATTCAGCCAATTATTGGTAAGATAAACGCTTTTTCACGTTATTATATACTAACTATACTATAATATTATTCATATTTAAACGTACAATATCTTATTTATGTATTTAAAAAATTATATATTAACATATTTTATACATGTATTTTCGACAAGTACATTCAGTTATTATATTATTATCTCAATTATTTATTATACATAATTGTTTTTATTCAACAATTATTATTTTTATTAATTTAAGTATAATCTTAAATTTGTATAATATATATAATTCATAAATTTGTCATACAGTAAACTTTCAAAATGGTGAGCTTAAAGATGAAGAAGTCAAGCAAATATCATGTGGCTTGTATCGCGAGCAAAAGGATAATAAAACGGTATTAGCTTTGTCAAATGGACACATTGTTTATAAAGGTAATAGACCAGATTGTAAGAAAGAATCAACCCGGACGATGCTGGTACTTCATAATAAAAGGACTGGCAAAGTTCGATTATTTGAAGCTGAGAGATGGGAAGTAGCACCAGTACTTGAAAAATTTGACAATGAAGACAAGATCAATGACATGGATCATAAGATTACGATATTGAATAAACAATTTGGATCTAAGAAAATCAAACGTAGAACAGAGCAATTTGAGAAGCTAAAAGTGAATGTCGAGAGTGTTAAGGAACAACTTGAAAAAGCAGTATCAAGTAAGAGAGTTCTTTTTTTTCTTCATGTTATTATATAATTGATTTCTCAAATAATATCTAATTACTATGATTTAAATCTTAATAATAGTATATGTCAATATTTATTGTGTGTAAAAAACTCACTGAGTCACTTGTCTTTTGACAGATGTTGAAATCAATAGACTAGATTTATCGAGTCAATTACCAAATGATGACTGCTTAAATGCGATACTACCTGTATGTAACAGGAATGCGAGTAATGTCAAAGATGTATACAATATATATGATATTATTCCTAAGAGTAAATTGGAAATGTTATATGAATATGCAATGAAGATTACTGACGAAGACATGAAAGAGTATTTAATAATATTTTTTATCAATGTTAAAATCTTATGCATCTTAATTATACAGAAATTGTATATTTCTTTGGTCACATAGGAAGGCAGAATTTTTCAAACATACTTTAAGAATTATGCAATCGGATCCTGACAAAGTGAACAAAATCGCCCTTTTACTTTATATTGAAATGATCAACGAATGGTTTGCTATGAAAATCACAAGAAAACGCGATATTGTTGTATGCTCGATTTCCGAGGAAGTGAATCAGCACATTATCGACATGTACAGCATATCCGGTCCAAATGGACGGTGAGTAAGCATCACTTGTATTAATCACGGATAAAATTTCAACAAAATTTATTTTACAGGACGAGGCCGAACTTTATGACAGACAAAGGCCTTATACACAGCTTAATTCTCGCACTGACGATATCAAATTTCACACTGGATTTGGAAATGTTTCGATTTATGTTCAAAAAGCGAACGAGTCTAAAAAAGCTAATGGATCTCACGAAACTTATCGGGGCGGTGTCCTCTAAAGATGATAAGAAAATCATCGTGCTTAAAGTTCCAATGCCACCACCAGTGTCTCCTGTTAAAAAAACAAAAAAATCAGCGAAAAAATCTAATCAGTGACTTCTTTAAATAGTCTTTAAATAGTATTATAAATAGTCTTAATATATGTGTCAGTATAGAAATTAATTATTTTAATATTTCCTTTTCTACAACTTTTCTTCAGAAATATCTTTTCTGAAAAACTAAAAAG